CATCTCCTAATAGTAGTATGACAACACCATCTATGACATCATCATCGAGCAGCAAGTCCATGTTTGCTGTATCTGCTGCTGGTGTTGCTGCTGCTAAGGCTGCTAGCGACATCGCCTCTAAGGCGGCCACCACTACAACAGCAGCTTCATCTACCACTGCTGCTGCTGCTGAGACTGTTGTCAAGTCTGCTGCTGCTAGTACTCCTGCTGCTAAGACAGCTCAAGCTGCTACTAAAGCTGCTATTGAGGGTAATAGATAATGAGTATAGGAGTTTATTATTAATTAGGTTCGTTCCATCCCGTCCTAAAATTGAGGTCTAAGATATGTGCTTTACCTATGCCTGAATTATTAAGGAAGTTCTTTATGCATCCTGCTGGACCCTTTACCATATTCTTTTGGGCTCCTGCTATCAAATGGGGTATATCTGCTGCCAACTTAGTTGATTATAAGAGACCTGTTGAAAAGGTTAGTATCCCTCAACAGCTTGCTTTATTCGCCACTGGTAATAATACTAACAATCCTTAGTGGAATGATAATCATCATCTTAGGTGTTATCTGGGCTCGTTGGTCATTTGTTATTACACCAATTAACTACAATTTAGCAACTGTTAACGTGTGTCTAGCCTCTACAGCATTCTATCATTTGATAAGAAAGGTAATAATAATACTCGTAATATCCACGTCGTCCTACAACAATAATACTATTTAGTTGGTATACGATCCCTTCCCTACTACTAATGATGATGATGTCAAGAAGACGACTGTTACTACTACGTCCTTATAGACTGCTTATAGTAGTAATGATGTCGTGGTATTCCTGAGTATTATTATTCACATCGTCATCATGATCGTTCTGGTAATAGTATTATTACCGCTCAACAACAATTGTGTAGTAGCTGTTGATGATTGAATCTCGTTGTTCCTGGTATCCCTAGTATTGCTACTACTACTACCATTCACACCTATTGTATTGGAATTACTTGGTAGTAGTAGTAGTAGTAGTAGTAGTAGTAGTAGTAGTAGTAGTAGTAGTAGTAGTAACTAGTTGGGTGTAATCATTGTTACAACAGTGTTGTTGTAACTGTCCATATCCTACCACTTAATACTATTATGTTGTGTTGTCATTATATGGTATGTTTCTTGAGCATTATTATTATTATAATGTCATCAATTATAATACCTAAAGCTCGCCTATTGTTAAAGAGTGGTAAAGATGCATTCTTAGATCCTAATGTAACTATGAAGATGTTGTTATTGTAGACAGCAACAATATCTAGTATGTTTTATCAGATTGGTTGGAAGACTACACATTTTTGGGGTCCAGTTGCTAATTGGAGTATAGCATTAGCTGGTATTACTGATCTTACTACTAAGGGTCCTGAATATATATCCTTACCAATGACTGGTACATTATGTGTATATTCTGCTATGTTTATGAGGTTTGCATGGATGATAAGACCTAGGAATTATCTATTATTCTCATGTCATGTATTTAACGAGGTAATAACACATAATAATGATACATCTATAATACCACTACTACTAC